GAATTGAAATTCACACATTTTAAAGAGGCCTTGGTTGACACTGTATTACCCAAATGTGAATAAAGCCTTTAAGAATCTGCAGCTTCCAGGGTACAGTATTTTAATTAAATAAATAAAAAGGCAAGATGCCTCTGTCACGGACAATAAAATAGCAATTTTAAAAAGTAGAGCGGCTTTGAACAGGAAAGGTTTTGGAGCCTCGAAGTGGAAGACTGCCTCTACAGATAGAAAACCCTGAATGAAATCAGAGGTCTTCATTTGAGCAAGAGCCTTCCTTAGACTTTCTGAAAGATTTGTCTTAAGAATAAGTGTTTCCAAAAGTGTTATATTAGTAATTGCATCCAGGGAGCTAGAATTAGAAGAATTAACGGAGGAAAGTACGTGGCATTCATGTTAGAATTAAACAAGGGGAGTTTATTGTAGGTGCAAAATAGGGTCTCCTGCTTGAGTGAAGAGTTGGACTAGAGGACCTCTAAGGTCCTTCCAACCCTGTTATTCTCAAGTCTAGAAATAGTGATTGCGAAGTAATCGCAGGATGAGCTAATTACCCACCCACCCCAAATAATCCAAATGCTGTTTTCCACCAACTGCCCCGTTATCATTACATGTTCTTTCCCACCTGCATAATTTTTATTGCCTCCGCAGCCAAAAGAACTCGTTTTTCTTCACGATACTACGCTTCCGCCTCAACAACCAATCGACGCAGACGCAGGACAGAGTTTTTCTGCCGTAGCCAATAACAAACGCAAGTTCCAATACGCAGAGCCCGCCTTCTGTGGGAAGTGAAATGAAGGAGCTGTACAAGGCCACGCATCATTTTTGTGATTGGCCAGCAGAAACTCACACCGTAAAAAATTCACTTATACCAGAAACGGCGGGGAGGAGGGGTTGCGGTCGGAGCGAGTGAGGATAGAGGAAAGGGAGTTAGGAAATGATAGTGGTCGGCAGGTGGCGCTCAAAATTTGCAGACAGATTCAGATTCTTTGACGAGGCTATTTTTGCATGAACTAACTGTGCATGTGTGAATTGGAACCCTACATTTATTTATTTTTATTTACTTGATTTGATTTGTTAATCGCTTACAAGATAATAAAGATAAGAATAAAGTATAAATACGGAAAATAGGTACGAATAATTGTGAACAATAGGACAGGAATGGTAGGCACGATGGTGCGCTTATGCACGAATGTAGATGAAGTAGAAATACTAAACCGTTTCAGCTAAGGACATGGCCAGTGGTAAAAGGATTATCTGCATACGAAAGTTATAAGTCAATCCGCAAATTCTCTTAAGGCTAAAAAATTATCTTTTATTTCCTAGAAAACCTGTCAGAGAATAGTACAATATTCAGAAATTCGACAGCTTGAGATAAAACAATAGTCTAATTCCTTCATATTGTATAGTAATTCCAAGGCTGCCTACTACATCAGCTATTTAATAGTTAGATGCTGAGAAATTATTACACAATAAGACTGCCTTCAAGTAAATTAAAGAATAACATAAGTACAAGGTCACATTGGAAAATTAACTACTGATATTTTTGTTTTTCAAAATTAGCCATTTCTTCCAACCAGAAGTTAATGTTGGAGTGGCATAACCTAATAATAATAATAGTAATAGCAAACAATGCAAAAATATCTATTTCCCAAGTCGAATTGTCCAGCAATTCTAATGTTTTATGTACATGGTAGAATATTTGGCACTGAAGTGTATAGTAAATTTCCAAATTGAACTGTGAATATTTTCAGCTTTTGTTTTAGTAACACTATTTTAAGATGAGGCTGCCTTTGATGAAAAGGTGAAATTACAGAGCTTGACATTCAGTTCATGTGTTTGCCTATAGTAAAGGTCATAAACCTCTCATAAATGGCTTACTAGACCACATACAAGAAATTTTATTATAAGCAATTATTTTATATTTCAGAATCTGAGTGAGAATTAAGGACATTTTGACATTCTAGATCAAGGGTCTTCAAACTTGGCAAGTTTAAGACTTTGTGGACTTCAACTCCCAGAATTCCTGAGCTAACATGAGTGGAGGAGAAATTCTGGGAATTGAAGTCCATAAATCTTAAAGCTGTCAAATTTGAAGACCCCTGTTCTAGATAGTCTCCAATCTCACTACTATTTATAACTTCCAGGCAGATGATGGGGAGACAGATGTCCCTTGTATGATGTGTGTCAGTTTTCTCCAGTCATGATTTCCTGTAGATATATTAGATAATAGAATTTTTTCCTCTTAAAAGCTCTAACATATCTAGGGCATCAGACAGTGGAAAGCAAATTTATAGTAACAAAAACATTTTGCCAACTATTATTGCTATATCCCAGATTGTTGGTGTTGAGTTTGGACTTAAACATGCCCGGAAAATAGATCTTAAAATCAGTGGAAGGGCTTCTCTAAAAGGTTTGGATTTAACCCATTAAACATACATACTGTCCAGGGCTCAGAGAGTTTTGGTGATATTATATTTAACTAATGCCCTATTCTTTTGAATGGAACATAAATGGAGTTAAATTTGTCTGGAATTAGAGTAGTGGCAACAAATTTAAGAATGCTTAAATAAAATCCAAGCTGGAAATAAATTAGTATGTGGTTTATAGATGAGTGAAGGAAACCCAACCTTTCTCACATTACCTTTGCCTTACCTCTAGTTTCAGAAGTTATAAGGGTCATGATTTTATTATGATTAGGAATGAGTAACCAAGTAACTTTGGAATTTCACTAAGATTCAGTCGCAAAATGGTGCACTGATATAAACTTGAATTATTGAAATAGATTTAGTTCTGAACAATTCCTCCTATAGATTATTTTCCACTTTATATATTGTACAATGTTCACCTCTTGGAAAGATATGCTGTTTTGGGAGAATGATTTGCCTGGGAAAACAACTGAATGGTCTCTAACCTGGATTACTGGAAGCTGTTGGCAATTGAACAGGAAAAGGAACAAATTATTCCCCCTCAGCCCAACACAGAAAGAAAAAGAAAAGAAAAGAAGTCTAAACCGGTCTGATGAGTGCCTGAGCCAGAGTCTAGTCTGACTAATCCTCCAAAGAAAAGAATAGATGTAAAAGAACCAATCTAGTAAGAACTAGAGATGTTAACCCTTTTGTTTCAATGAAGGATAAAGAAAGAGAAGTAGAAGATTGTTTGGCACTGGTAAGAACTAGAACCAGGAAGCTCCACCTGTTCATATCAATTTAAATGTCAGTTTAAGAGTTATTTTGTTTTATTTTAACAAGGAGTTCTTTGTTTGGTGGATTAACCTGAGAATTAGTGAGTGGCTCCTAGTTTTCCAGTGGGTATATTCTGTTGTCCCCATATTGCTCTGACATCTAGAAAATTACATTTTGTATCCCACAAAATTGGATTTGGAGGATTGCATAGATGAATAAATCGGTCCCAATTAATTAGAACCTTTTATTGGGCTTATCTGTCTTGGGAATTTTAGCCGGGAAAGGATTGGTTTTTTTTTTCCTGTTGTCCAGTTTAGACTGGAAGCACTTTGGAAACTCAAAACTATATTTTTATTGGTGTATTTATACTGTTCCACGAAGAACCAGTACCTTTGAGACACTGTATAAATAACAAATAGCCACAATTGTTGAAAGCTTTGCAAACATCATGGTAGTAGTAGGCAAGACTTATTTCCTTATTTTTTTTTTAAAAAAACCCTCCAATTAACCTTGCCGTGTTCCAGAGGCCCAAGCCCCAGCATGAACTGTAGCAGAGCACTTGCCAATCCAGAGCACTTGCCAATCTCTGGAGGGAAAATTTTTCTCCCTTTCTTAAAATCTTCAGGTAAAAAAATTATTTTAGGAAGAAGCTTTTCATGTGCTCAGATCAGCTTAATATTTATTTATTTAAAAACGAATTAATACCTACAAAATTAGAGGATATGCCAGTGGCATCCTTCCCATCTCCTTGAAGCCCACAACCACCATTATAAAAGCTTAAAACTTTAGTAAGGCTTTTTGGAATACCCTAACTATTCAAGGCAAGTTTCCAAAGGTATTTATTACTCTACCAATTCATGAATAGAACTATGTGACTAATCTCTAAATTTTGCCTTCAAACATTTTGTTTAGTGTAATAAAATATGACCAACAGGAGGTTTACACGCTATGCTACAACTATAAATACCTAACACATTATTTTTCATTTCCTTGCCTACCTATATTGCTGGGTGATTAGAAGGATAAAAGAAGTGTCCAATTATAATAAATACAGTAACTGGAACTAGAAGTCACAAAACAAGTAGTTATAAAGCACTAGTTCATACATGTCGTTTATTATTTGATTACTGCAATATAAAATTATATGTATAGTATATATAACTCTAGATTAAAACTCACAGAAGAAGTTTGGTGAATTTTCAATTAACTTTATAATTGACATGGTTTTCAGTGATTGATTCCCACATTTGATTCTGGCAGAAAAAATATATAAACCAGCCAGATTACTAAAAATTGACCTTGACGGAAATTATCTTCAATAGATTGACACTGTATTATGAATGAAAATGGGTTTTACTTTCCTGCAGAATAATCGTGTTCCCATTTGAGAATTTGCACCCTGCAGGACCAGTCACTTATCTGGGTGCAATTCTTTATAATCTTGGTGTTTTAAATTTTGCCTTGTTAACTCAGTTTGGGTTATAAAGTCTGAGCCTCTGTGGGCATGTGCATTCAGTAATGCATTTATTGCCTGTGGTTATCAACATAATCCACCTGAGGAAATAAAGTGTTTCCCTTTTTAAAACTTTGACTCAGTAAATAAACATCTAAAGCTTTAAGGGATGCATTCCCAACATCCAGAAGAGCTGAAATTCTGGAATTTAACCCCCCTCTCTTTTTTTAAAATACCACCTCCTCCTTCTCCACAGATAAAGTCAAATGAAATTGCTCTAAGCCAGCAACTGTCTCAGCTTAGATTTCCCTCATCATGAATATTCAGATCTGTCCCTGCTCAGCCACTGTTCACTCCTGTTTACTTTATGCAGGAGTGGCTCAGTCCCTGGTTAACCTTGACATACAGAGGGAGGGAGGGAGAGAGAAGTGCAGCACAAATAGGTATGTGGCACCTCCACACACCTGAGATATGAGAATCACATTTTTACTGGTTGCCAAAGCCAACTCTGCCAGTTTTGCACAAAAGTAACAACGTCTAACTCAGTGTCTCGTTCTACCTCACGTTTTCTCCATATTGATCTTTGCCCACAAGAGTTGAAGATACTGTTCAGTGACGAACAAATCAGACATCAGACGAAACAGGTATGTTGTTAACGGCACTTTTAAGGGAAGAGGGGAAGGAAACTCACTCCACACTTGGGAAGACTGAGTTTTGTAGCCTTCACAAATGTTTAATCAATCACCATGTAAAGATGTAAAGATAAAATGAATAGAACTTCAGTGGATAATAGTTTTGAATCTAGATGGGGCAAACCCATGTTTTCATCCATACTTACTCCTAATCTCTGGATGATATCAGACCAAGATACAATCTTTTGCGAGATTGTTGTAAGCATAGAACACGAAGGAACAACTTTATTCGGCTTTCAAATAAGGGAAACAAAAACGTTGCAGATGATCTGCTGAGTAGCTGTCTGTTTTGCATATTTCACTTTTACAAACCTGAGTTACTGCTAAAATACACTTAACAGAGAATCTTTAGCTCAGAGTTTAGGCAAATTGATAATTTTAGGTGAATGAGAATTTCAGTTCTCATTCACCCGCAACCAAAATAGCAAATTATTAAGGATCATAAGAATTGTAGTTCAAAACATGTGAAGAGCATTAGTTTGTTCAATTCTGTCTTGATACATTTATTTAGTTAACTGACTATTTCAAAGGTGTCCATCAATTTGTGAGTTTTAAAAATGTTCGGCTTTCTGTTATTCATGTAAAACATTGAATTAGAGTCAAATATTGTCATGCCATTCCAAAAAAGAGGTGTTTTTTTTCCTGGCAAATGAATCCTTCTTGCTCTCTTTATATGGAGAAAAGGAAAGAGAAAATGAAAAGATATATCTGTGTAGAATACTTCAGTTTTTGATCTCTTAGACCTATTAGATTGCTCTCAAGGACGGATGAAATCAAATGCTGTATTGGGTGCCCAAAGAAAGGCACATTTAACACCTCCATGAACTATATTGGGTGCCAGTTTGCTTTGATTCAAGATGTTGTTTATGACCTATAAAGCCCTACATAAGCATAGAGCAAGGCTGCCTACAGACCTAGCTTCATCCCACTCAGTCAGGCAAGGAAGGTATGTTGCAGACCCACTCCCAAAGAACTCCGATTGGCAGGGTCTAGGAGAGAGCCTTCTCTGCCATTAACTCCACTCTATGGAAGTAGTTAATATTTGGTGTGAGGACATGGTAATTTATCTAGTTACCTAGGATTCCCACTAAAAGATGGGTCATGAACCTCTCCTTCCTTCCTTTTCCCAATCTGCTACCCTCTACGTCTGTTGGAACAACTCCCATAATTCTGAGCCAGCATTGAAGTCTTAACACATTGGGGGGGGCGGGCATTACTAGGTTGATGGACAAAGAGGACATGAGCCCCCCTCCCCCCAAAAAGGAAAATGAAGTAGATCATGTGCTTCAGAGAAACATTAAATGTCTTAAAATAAAGTTTAAGCGTGGTTTTGGAGATAGCATAATTGAATCTGTAACTTAGTGGCCAAGCTTAAAAATAATCCAAAGCACCTGGAGAACGCTGGTACGAGTGATACAGTAATCGTTAGATTAGAGATTACCATTCATCTATGTTTCTAATACCTCTTTCTGGTGCCACTTCTGAGCTGGAAGATAAAGTTCCCACAGAAATCTATGGATAGAGTGAATGGGATCCAATATTGGACATACATGGGTGGGATGGAAGAAAGGCTACCTCTCATCCTTTTTGCTTGGCTCATAGGGAATAGACAGGCCTTAAAACAGGGGGTTGCGTTCAGTCTGTCTTTCGGTGAGATGTTGTCTATTTATAAACTATTATCATGGTATCTCAAGCTACAGTATCCTTAGATCATACACAGGAAACGAATGTTTTAATGTAGAATAAACAAATTCACCTACATATAGTAGCTCCTGCTCTTGATCTTGATCTGAATAGATTCAAAACAAGAAGTTACACCTTGAGCAAATATAAAACCCTGAGACAAGCTAGAAGCTAGGAAGTAAAAATAATAAAATGCATAATAATAATTTAAAAATAAAGATTCTTCCAAGTTGGATTTTTCTGCTGAATAAGCATTCCTTTTTAAGGATTTTTTTTCAATATTTCACAGTCTAGCCTTAAAGTATCCTGGTGGTCTCCAAATGCTAACCAGTTGTAATTCTACTTAATTTTTCAAGTTACAACCTAGATGGAAAGAATAAAAATTCTTGTAGTTCTTTATGGACGTTTTTGTTATTCAGCAAGAAGATATAACTGTTCTTCTGTTAACTATTTTCCTCTTATCCAAGGCTGGCCCATATCTATCATTTAAAAGGATTCATAAGACACACCAGTGTAAGCACTTCAAGGTACACTGGATTAGGAAACCAATGTCATGCATGCAACACTACTTTCATTAGATTATAGGAACAGAATATTGTGAATCTGAATGTCCTTCCCTCCCCCCCACCCCCATTATTATTTTGAGAAGTCAGAAGAACCTTGTCTGATGTGATTTCTCAATTCTGGCCCGGCCTCGGATTTCTTTTATCTGACTTGTTTTGATTGTGGCTCTTCCTCCTATTCCTTAAGGTTATTACTTCTGCCCATTATAACTGGCTTGAGTTGTTTAGCTTAGCATAATGCATGAATTCAATCAACATGGTTCTTGGGAATACTGCAAATTGTTCTCAAACCAAATGTGGCTTAGTAAAATGTATGGATCAAGAACAGGAATCTGAGAAGCACATTTGGCAGTGCCTAAGTGCCAGAAAGAACTTTGCTCTACCTACAATGCAACATTTACATAGTGCATTTAATTTTTTTTCACAATGATAACAATAAGTTCATGAACAGATGGAAGAATTTAGACACAGACGAATTGGCTGAACTAAGATCATTCAGACATATACAAATAAGTTAAGCTTTATCCAATATTTTCCTGACTTAATATTGATACTTTAACAGTATGTATACTGTGTCTCTGCCACCATCAGTGGGGGATAAACAAAACTAGAGTGTGAAGCAACGGAAAACAAAGGGGAAAAAAGATAAGATGCTCCATGTTTTAAAAGGAAAGCTTAAATGAAGTGTTTAATTTCTCTTAACATTTTGAAAAAACGTGGGGGGAGACATTCAAACCAAGTAATCTTTTAAGCAACATCTCATCATTTTAAGTACTCCTTGCAAGCAATATATGTTAGCAATGTGGTGGCTGTGGGCTTTATAAATTGTCTTTAAAGTTGACTTTTAAAGATGGCCAGAGGTTGCCATTCTCTACAAGTAGCCCAGGTAAAGAAACTATTCTCAATTTCAATCTCTCCCTTCCAACTGAAGCTTCAATACCTGCACTTTAAACATCAAAAACATCTGAAAATAAATCTTTCCCACATACAAGGAATTTGATTTTGTCCTCATTATTTGTATTACACTTTTTTTTCCTCTAAGGCACTAAGGGCATAGGCACAGATCAAGAGAGAAAGTTCATAGTTTCTTGCTTATATTATCCATCTAACTTCCATGATTTATTTTTGGAATGAAAATAGGGATTTGGGGTGGAGGTGTTTATTATGTGTACATGAGGAATATGAAGCTCAGAATTCTAAACATGGTCTTCTTGACCATTTAGGGGGGAAGAAGAACCAGCTAATGTCACAAGATCATAATAGATATGTGCTTTTTTCTCTTTTCCCAAGAGTGACTGATCCTTCTTGTTGGCTCCATGGCAGAAAATAACTATAGCTGGTGGAAGTTAACCTTCCTTCGAAAGAAAAAATCAACTCCAAAGGTATTGTATGAACATCCAGATATTTATGGAGTGGCCAATGATGAGAGTCTACAAGAGGGCATGCCAGCAGATGGGAGCAGTGGAAGCCGCAATGAGCAGGAATTCAATGCCCGGCTAGAGAAAATTGTGGACAAAAGCACCAAAGGGAAACATGTCAAAGTTTCCAATTCTGGACGCTTCAAAGAAAAGAAGAAAATCAGGGCTACTTTGCCCGAAAACCCCAATTTCTTTTCTGATGGGGAACGGGAAGAAAAGTAATGGCCAAGTGAAGGAGATGCTTTTCATAAGCCCTTTTCTGAGGACATTTCTCTGCTGAAGAGAAGCTGATGTTGACAGATCAGGTTCATTACATTTGCTAATGAAGTTAACGAGGGAGTCCTCTGAAACTCAAGGATCAGATCCTGATTTTCATGTGAAGTTTCCCCAAAGGATGAACATTGTTCTGTTTTGTTTTCCTCTTTTTTAATTTAAGAAAAAACAATGCAAGATTTGTATCAAACACAAGTTTATGAGGGACTTATAAATGAGAAAGGAAAATTGAGAGGTAGAGAACATACACAGAATAGGGAACATACACAGTATTGCTAAATTCAGATAAATTACCCCTCCTTAGCTACCTTGTTAACCTTTCTAATCGGAGTAAATAGGAAATGTTTGTTTTTGCCTCTCAGGATGCCCAGCTCTTGGCACACTTGGGCAGCTGCTCTGATAGGCCTCATTGGTACTGGTACCTGCTTTCATCTTCCTACTCTCCTCCCTGCTGAAAGCTTTCTTGCAACAGCAGTTGAATCTGACCATCACTGAAAATTATCCAAACATTCACCTTATATAGTTGTGTTCTAAATCACGATAGAAAATGTAGATGGGAAATGTTTTTTATAGATTAAGTTGCTTCTGCTAGGTAAGCTTTGGTCGCCTCTTAGATACCAATAACTGAGGCCAATAAATCTGATGTACATGGAAAGATTCTACAGCAGTTCATACAAATCTTTATTTTTAAGAAACTTGAAAACTATCTGCTAATTACCAGCAGTCAGCATGACCTGTCAAAAACAAATCTTGCCAAATGAACTTAAGTAAAGGTTTTGTTTAGACAGAATCCTTAGATTGAGGGAATGCTGGAGATGTAGTTTAAATTAATTGCAGAAAAGCACTTTACAAAACAGCCCATATTCTGTCTAGCATGCTACTTGAATGTGAACAGGATGGGTGGCTACACACCTGACTCAAAAATTGAGCTCAGGGTACTAATAAGTGGTTCCTTATCAAATTGGAATAAGGTACTATAGGAAGAAAAATCCAGTCCAGTTCCAAGCCAGGAAAAAGGTACTGGAAATAAAATGGAGGCTCATTGGCTGAAAGGAAAGAAGGTTTATTTGGTTTCCAGAAACTTCAGTGACAACAGCAATGTTTCTGGGTTGGCAGATCCCTTGGCTGAATGAATGGATGGGTCTTTATAGGGTTCTGGGATTTTGTGATTGGGATGTTCTAGGGCAGGGATGTCAAACTTGCATCCTCATGTCATCATGTGACGTATAGCGACTTTCCCCCCCTTCACTAAACCGGGGGTGGGAGTGGCTAGTGCTTGATGCACCTGGCCCGTGGACCTCGAGTTTGATGCCCCTGCTCTAGAGGTGTGTGCAATGTAGTGACTTGCTAGTCTAATGATGGTGGGTTAATCCTAAAAGTCATGTCCTGTATTTAGAATTTGGGTGGGGGATGTAAATTCTTAATCCCTTCAGCTGTAAGAGCTGAAAGTGTTTTGTTTATGAATAGATTGGCCCAGTGTTTCTTAATAGGTACAAAATATCTATCGCTTAAGACTTCAGGCTTCTGCTTGAGGCTATTAAGAAAAACTGGGGCTATTTTCTGCCTTTTTAATATTTTTTTCTGAATTTCTCCTTTGAGGAAATATAATATTCTGCCTCTTTTTAACATTAATAATAAAGAATATTTTAATCTGGGAAAGGAGGGCTTCCTACAGTACCATGTGTGTGTGGGGAATATCCTAGATCCTGAACTCTGAAATATTTTTATTACTTGGATAAAGAGACGAAGGGAATACTTTCCTGAATTTGCTGATGATATAAAACTGGATATGATATCTTTCAGAACAGAAATAAAATGTACTAGTTTTTATAAAAGAAATGGGATAAAAATATTAATATTATTTAATAGAGATATTGCAAAATTATTTTCTAAGGAAGCAAAAATTACAGTACTAATAAATTGTAAACTGAATATGGGATTTGGGTCAACAATGTGATATGCCTGAGGGAAAAAAAAAACCAAACCAAAAGGCAAATATAATTTTAGGTAGCATATACAGAAATACAGTTTTTAAATAAAAATTCTACTTGCACTTTGTTCTGCATTTCATATGTCCACTCTACCTTGAATACCATGACTAATCTTGGCTTCTGATTCAGGCAATCTTTAACATTTTAAAGTATACCAATAAGGATAATAGGTGGCTGGGAAGAGAGATATAATCAGTGATTTTCAAACTATTGGACATGTAGACTTCAGTTCCCATAATGGACTTCACATATTTGTGAATTCTGGGAGTTGAAGTCCATGCATTATGAAGTTGCAAAGTTTGAAAAACACTGGATTAAATGAAGAGGGATGGTTATCTTTGAGCAGAGACTAACAAGAGCTTTGGTCATGTTTTTTTAAATACTTGACAGGATATAACATAAAATAGGGCACTGAATAATGGATTTAAATTACAGGAACAGAGATTCTGACTGAATATGTATGAGGGGAAAAATTACTTCTGAATTGTAAGCACTGTTTGACAGTGGAATCTCCCCTTCATTGGATGCGTTCAGATGACGATTAGATAAATGACCTATCAGGTGAAGATTAGAGAAAATTATCTATAATTGAAACAATGGACTGGAACCTGTTGGCTTAATAGCATCTACCATAGTATGGCTCTTGAACGTGATGCGTGTGGACAGCATCACATTACCAATTTACCAAAAGGCAACGGAGATTCATCTAGTAATTTTGAGTATAGTCTTTGACTTATGAAATACTACATAATGAAGCCTGTTCATAATGGTTGTAAGTCATGATAGTCATTTAGCAGGTTGATCATATAACCAAGACAATTTTACAACTTAAAAATTGTGGCAATAATTAAACAAACACCATGGTCATTAAGTAAATCAATGGTTTGCCTTGGGCCCAGTTTTACAAAAACCCTGAAATAAATGAGGGTAGAAGTTCTTTCTCTGAGCTTGAGGATTGGTTTCTGAACGTTTCATTACCAGGCAAGGTAATCTCTTCAGAGAGTTAATAGAATACCCTAAATTCCACTGAAGATGTTACCTAGTCTGATAATAAAACATCTGGAAACCAACCCACAAGCTCAGAGAAAGAATCTCCACCCTCATCCTACACCCAAGCAACAGATATTTGTCATTGAAAGTAAATGCCGGTTTTCAGCAAAATTATCATAAAACGTAATTATATGATTGTAAGATGCTGGAGCCAAGTTGTTGAACACCCAAAGTTCTGTCACATGACTGTTGGAACATTGAATCCAGGTTGTACATAGCCCTGAGGTAGGACCATTATAACTGAGCTACCTGTACGTTATTAAGTTTTCTGATACATGAGCTGCCTAAGTGTGAGGTCCACCAACCCAGCTGTTCAGTCCATACTGTGCATTGCAATGTATATACAATCCTGTTTATGTTTTATACTCCTAGCAAAAAAGAGGGATACTGATCTTAATGCAGGCCAACAAATACGTAGGGTCATGGGGACACTGGTCCCCAAAATATATAAACTTGCATTCAAATAAAATGGGGTGAAACTGTGGCCACACTTTTATGAACCCCAAGGGGGGTTCCAAATGGACAAAACGACAGCTTGTCTCAGCCAGGTTTCATATAATCCACTAGGTGATGTGATTGTTTGGTGTTGTTTTAGCATAATGTGTGAACCAAGACACAGAAACTTATAAACCATGTTTTATAGTTCAAAACCATGCTTTATAGTACAAAACCAATATGTGTTTATTAAATAACTATGGCTTAATATAATATATGAATCCAATCACTATAAGACTGAGATTAGTAGTAGGGTCTCTTAAGAGGGCAGATATTTGGTTTCATTTATTAATCACATTTACAGTCAGAGAAAATGAGACTCTGCTTTTGGATCTCACCAAATTTGTCTGCTGTCCTGTAATATAATGAAATTTATTATTTCTCCAACTTTGAAGTAAAAAATTTAACTGTAAAATCTGTTGGATCTAGTGTATAAACTGGGAAGAGAAGGCTCTTGTGCTCGGCATCAGGTGGTAAAAATGCTGGATTTGTCATGCAGAATTACATGGATCTGATACAAAACACCATCTTGATATCAATGTACAAATAATATTCATCTTCAAGCTCTATTAACTTCTTATTTTTTATTCAGACAATAATTTATATTGGACCAGATCCAAATGTGACTCAACAGACTATCAGGGATTTATATCAACACCACATGAAAAAGAGCCAACTAAAGAGGGAACTGTAATAGGTGAATTGGTGCCCCATTAAAATTCCCCTAACTTTGATTACAAAGTCCCCTTTTATGATCTTCAGTTTCCTTCTAGTGCAACATTACATTGTTTGAAGCTATTAAAATATTACATTGTTTTAACATCTTTGATTTGCTGGCTGGGGAATTCTTGGAGTTGAAGTCCACTGATATATACCAAGGTTTCTTGAAACAGAAGTAGTTCCTTTCCATCTCAAACTGAACAGCAATTTCAATGTAAAAGATTTCCTCCTCCTCTAAATATAATGTATTTTATTAGCTTTAGTCGTCAAAGACTACTTTTGCATATCGTTCCTCATTTTGTACCACAGTATCCAGGGTTGAATAGCTTGTGTGGGGTTTTTTCCTTGATGTATCAGTGAAAATTCTGAGGTGAGCGGGTTGGTGTTGGATTGGCTGTTCTTTCTTATACAGAAAGTTAATTAGGAACTTTATATTGTAATTCATTTGTTATATTCCAGAAAGGGTGTTGTTAAATATAAGGAGTCAAAAATAGATTTGTTTTTGTCTCTCTTACTCCGTAACTCAGAATTCTTTAAACTACCTGGAATAACTTCTTCAGAATTTCCCCAATATCTCTTGTTAGATATCAGCAGGGATAATATTTGAAAAGAAGATTTGAACATTTTCCCATGCATTTATAAATTCAGCCTCAAGCTTTATCTTTATTCCATATTCACACCTGAAATTCCATTTCCTATGCATCATTTCAATGATGGCAATCATTAATTTACCTCTGATTTTGTAATTCTGTTTCACTAAATCAGCAGAAATGCCTTTAAAATATTTGCTTGCTACATATGTTCAGTTCAAGGTTGTTCTTTTCCCACATTTATTGCAATAGCCTTCAGGCTATTTCCTTTCAAATTTGTCCAGCAAGCCACATGAACTTTAGCTGCCAAGAGCTACATTAATAACTCATCCATCAACCTCATTTTGCACTTGTAAAAGTTACAATTTTGATAAACTTTGAACAGCAGTTTTGTTGAACTCTCTAACAGTTTGTCTTATAATCTGGCAAAAATCACGTGCTATGTAATTTGTTCCAATTGTCCTAAATGGATTTATTAAGCAAACAATTAAAAAGTGACCTATTTTGTCAGAATTATTAATGCAAACTCCAAAATTAGCTGTTTTTACAATAAAAGAGATCATTTGTACCTCAGGGTTGAAATGAGAGGTCCTAGAGCATGGTTGTTTTCTTGATGACTTTTCATTACCAAATCATATCATCAGTGCTAATAGGGAGTGGGGTGTGCTCTGTTTATATTCTACTGACTTGCCCTGCTAAGTATTGGTGGGTTTGTGGCAGGGGTGTGTGTTTACTGTTGGCTGATTTGGCAGTTCTTTAATTGGAATATTGTTCACTTCTTCACTGTTGATCTGATGTCACTCTTGGTGTTAATCTATGCTCATCTAGCTCCCAACTGCTTTTCGGATGTATTTTGTTTTTTTGCTCCTTTTTTTGGCCTGTTAATCAGCATATAAATTTTATTGAAATCTGTTGATAGATCAATTGCCAGAATGCCAGCTTCCAGGGATTCTCTAGGGTTTTTGGATATGGCTTGGTCTCAAATGGTCACGATTTCCACTTCAGATTTAAGAAAATTATATGGAGAGAGTCGGTATCAGAGGCCTTTTGATGTGGTGGTTAAGGTGCCGGATTAAACCTGCAGAAACCCAGTTTTAATTCTCTCTGGGAGTCAGCTGGGTGATCTTCAGCCGGTCACTTTTCTCAATCCAAAACAGGGGCTGGCTATGACAAGCTGGCTGAAAAACAAAACATCTACAATATCCATCAGATATTAATGACTTTATTGTACATATTGAGCAAGTGTGGTGCCAACAAATAGACCTTGCATTGAGTGAGACAAATGTTAAGAGGGGAGGAGGAGGAAGGGAAACATAGTCAAAGATGCCTGTACTTAATACCAAATCCTGCCTTATGTTACAGCCCATATGTCAATATTACACTTATCTACAGGTGGCAATACTTAACCAAACTTACCTGATCTCAAAAACAAGCCAGGTAGGGGATGGTTGGGATTTCAACAGGATATTGCCAGGAAATCCTGCGCTGCAGGGAAATTGAAGTGTGAAATAATTCCTGGAAGAGGGCAAGGGAATGATAGCTGTACAACTGGTTTGATTATTTATAACAATGAAAGAGAAGAAAATGTCAGCCTAATTAAGCACGTATAGGGTGTTTTTATGTGAACACAGTTCTCACATTTCTGACTGAATTTTTCAGAATTTCTCCACTGAGAAATAGCAAGGGCCATATGTTTGTAAAAAAATGGAATGGATTGTATGGAAAACAGATGGCAGCAAAAATGATTCTGATGGTTGTCTGGATTTTAGCAGCCCAGTTGTGGTCACCCTAGGTCTAATTATAATCTAACTTTCACAAATCTGCCAAAATTTGGTGCAACAGATAACTCCTTTTAGGAGTATGGTTTATAGCTTAGTACAATCTAGGAACTTTCACTTTCGCCGCAAATAACTGCTGGCACTAATTCTGTGTTACTATAATACAGGAGACACCAGGTACCCAAGCTCCAGTTATTTCTTGTACTTTATAAAATATGTTTTAATTTTTTCACTTGCCTTCTTCTAATCCAAAAAGGCTACCTTTCCAGGCAGTAAAGAATGATGATGGACTCATTCTAGGACAAAGCAATCTCTTATTTTGATAATAGATAAGAAGGAGAATGGGAAATAAAGAAAATGCATTTCCCTTGGGGAAAACTTGGAGCCAGTAAAAAACACAAGTTCATACAATGTAGTCTTTGTTCATAGTGAAATATCCCAGCTTTATTGCTCATTCATTTCAGAAATGGATGCACCATTTTAAGTGTTTAAAATGGGCTCTTTATGTAGCTATTCCTGTTTTGGATCAGCACTTATAAAGGAACCTACTCACTTGCATGTGAAATTATCTTCCTACTTATTTCTCTTCTCTGTTTTGATCAAAAAGCATCTAGGCTATCAGCAATATGATGCTTTTCAATGATCATGTTGGATGAGAATGACATTATTTCTTGTTCGTTTACCAAAAGTGGTTTAGGTATAAAGAGTTTATTTCACAGCCATTTCTCATCCTGCTAAGAGAAGACAGCTATTAAGCTTTTGGAAGGTTTTCTTAAGAAGAAAAACAAAAGCCACCAAGCCTTCAGTTACAATCACTATTACCCCAAGGTCTGACAACTATGTTCAACCATGTATTTACTTGAAAGGAAATGCATAGAGCCACCACCCTACCCACTACTGCCTGGCCATTTACTCCTAAAATCCTTGTATTTTCTAATACATTACAGACAGATTAGCTTTTTTGCTTTTGCTTTTCAAGGAGTGGGAAGCACTGTTTTCAATTAAATTTAGAGTAATCTTTCTTTTGATTCATAACAACACATGGATATGAATCCTTTACTGATCTAAAGTCTATTCTTGTCCTTTGCAATGGGTGCAATCACTTATATTCAAGGCACCCGACCTGATTATAATTCTTCCACTCAGATGTAAAATGCCACCTGTGTTTCTGCTTAGTAGATCCAGTTACACAGGGATACAATAACTCAAGGGCAAATGTGATGTTTATACCACATGTCACTGTTTTTAACAGTGATTTTATAATTTAAACCTAATCTTGTAAAGGTTAGTTTCGCTCCGAAGTCTTGTTAAGCAGAAGTTTGCGATGAAGAATCCTACAGTCAAGGTCCAAGACAGATTGAATGTCCAACTGACATAAATTAGAACAAGATTCCTTGTTCAAGATTCCCCATCAAAATAAGAATTTTTAAAAATCTATCAAATTTCATGACAATAGGGCTGAAGGTCTTTAGTTGGGCCTTTAAAGATTGCTTTTTCTTCTGAATTGCATCTAATACCATCAAACTATCAAGAAAGGGGGGGAGCATTAAATACTTCAAGTTATAGAATCCAGTTTGAAAACCCCATTCATGCCATTCAATTAGTCTACATCTCCGTCCAAAATGTAGTACCATCTCCCAGGCCCATAATTGAAATCTTTCTTTCCAAAATTGGACTCTCTTGGTACAGAGCAGAAGTATAGACTTCTTCTTCCAGGATTCCCCACCTAGCCATTCTGGAAGTTGAAGTCCACATATTTAAAGGCTCTGAGATTTGTGTGGATAAATGATAGTTTTTTTTGAAGGGATTCGAAAGAGAGTGGGGAAACCTATTACATTTAATTGGAGAGGAAATCTCGTCTGTTTTTTTTTTAAGATAGATTGGCTTTGGAAATTGGATTTATTCTATGTAATCAATCAGCAATTGAAAAGAAATGGTATTAAGAAATATAGGTATTTGATCCAGGACCAAGTAGGTTTAATATTTTGGGATGATTTTTGAAGACATGGCAAATTTTCTAGAAGTTGATTATATTGAGTTTGTTAACAGAGTTTTGGAATTTTAAATTGTCTTTTTTGATTATTATTGATAATCTTTATTATTTTTATATTCCTATACATTATTAAGATTACTTTTCCTTTAACTATTTTGTTTATTGATATAGTATATAGATGACAGGCTAACAATTTGTAAACAGATTTAGTAGTTTAAATAGTTTAAAATTCTTTTGGCCTGTTTTGTAAGTGGTAGGAGATTAATATTGTTGTATTAATCAGCATTCAGCTAGGGTGGATGTTATGTGTATAAGTGTTAATCTTTTTTTTCAATACACTTTTTAAACATTTGTTGTTTTTGTTTTTCATGTTTTGTATTTTAACTTTTCTTGAATAAATTAAATGTTATTCTATTCTTAAAGTCTCTGAGATTGAGAAACATAGTATAGAGCAGGGGTGTCAAACTCGTGTCACGTCATCACATCATCATGTCATTACATGACATATCACAACTTTGTTTCCCTTCACTAAACAGGATGGGCATGGCCAGCACATGACACATCTGGCATTTGACATCCGGTATAGAGGAACCACAGTTCTCAAAATTCCAAGATGAAGACCAGATTAGGGAAGCAGATTGGCTTGGGAATTCTGGGAGATGAAGTCCATACCTCTTAGAGCAGGGGTGTCAAACTCGATTTCATTGAAGGCCGCATCAGGATTGTATTTTACCTCGGAGGGCCAGAGTGGGCGTGGCCAGAGTGGGTGTGGTCAGCTTGACATCACTCGTGTCAGGGGTGCCTGTGGTGGTCTGAGCCCTTTGCCAGAGAAAACAGGCTCCTGAGCATTATTTTCGGCTGCAACGGCCTCCTGTAAGTAACCCTCTGCCAATGAAAACAGAGCTCAAGAGGGCTGTGTGCAGCCCACCCAAGTTCTGATTTTTGCTAGCAGAGGCCAGTCTTTCGCCATTTCCAGGGTGGCCCCGCGGGCCAGATCTAATCACCCCAGGGGCTGGATCTGGCCCCGGGCCTTGAGTTTGACGCCCCTGTCTTAGAGGCTCTGAGACTGAGAAATACCAATATAGAAGAACTACAACTCTCAAAATGTGAAGATGAAGATTACCATATTAGGGAAATCAATATCTCTTATCACTATGATAATCCCTTAATCCCGTATGCACCAAGATAAATTCCTTGTGTGTCTAATCACACTTGGCCAATTCATTCATTCACTAAATTGTTGTAGCCCCATATTTGGAGACTCAAACTTGAAAAAGGTTCCCCGCTGATCTTGTGATATGCTTAGTGTAAGAAAAAAGGTTTTCTATGGAAAAGCTGGCATCACAGCAGATGACTCAAGGTTCACACCCCTCTGTAAACCGCAAACCAACCCCACAGGCATTTGCACAACTAGGATAACAAGTGATTGGCTTGTTTGTGTTCCTACCTGTCAGAGTACCGCAATATGTTCCTTTCTAAAATCAATAGCACTAGTTCAACTGGGAAGCCAGGCGGACCTCTTTTACAATCCATAATATATAATGGAGGAGGTGAGAACTGCTTCAGCTGCTTACTTGTTCTGCACATGGGCAGAGTTTTCTTCATTCCTATGAATAGGAGACTGACTTGCAAGCCAAGAAGCCACAGGCTAAAAGAGGAAAGTAGATATCCAGGAAACATTCCACAAAGCAGGGGACTCACCTGGCCTTTAGGGAATCCCATCATTCAAATGACTTTTCTGCAAGAGATCCTGACTTGTGATTAGAAAACAAAAGAGCAGTGACTCAGAAGGCAAATACATTCCGGAAGCTCAGCAAGGGCAAAAGGTTATCACAGCTGCAGTTTCACTGGGACACAACCCAAGAGAACCGATACTCTTGAACAGTCCCTAGAAATCTTCTGGCACCACCTAGTGGAAAACAAATTCAAAGCACTCTTTTACCTTTTTTCTAAGCTGTTACAACTTAGGACCACAACTGAGCCCAAAATTTCTGTTGTTAAATGAGACATTTGTTAAATGAATTTTGCCCCATTTTAAGACCTTTCTTGCCACTGTTGTTAAGTGAATCACTGCAGTTGATAAATTAGTAATCTGTTAAGTGAATCTGATTTCCCCATTGACTTTGTTTATCAGGCTGCAAAAGATGATCACATGACCTTGGGACACAGCAACGGTCATAAGTGTGAACCAGTTGCCAAGCATTTGAATTTTAGATCACATGATCATGGGGATGCTGCAAAGGTCGTAACTTTGAAAAATGATCATAAGTCATTTTTTCAGTGCATTGTAACTTTGAATGGTTACTTAATGAACTATTGTAAATCAATGACTATCTTTATTAAAATAACGATTTTCTATAAAAAAAATTTCGGATCTTGATTTCAGAACATTCTGCAAGAACACAAAAAGCACTGTAGTTGTTCCATTCTTTTGCCCTTCTCAGGTTCCGAATCCCAAATTCTAGACATGGGTGTATCTTAGAAGACAGATTAAAGAGCTTGAAGTAACATGGCTGCATCATCGAGGAGTTAAAACTTCTATTAGCTGCCTGACATTTTGGAACTATTATACTGCTGAGATTTTGTAACTGCTCCTTAATGGATAGATCAATAGATAAATAGGTCTCTTTAGAATGTAAGTAGCTCACTTATGTTAGGTAAAACCATTTATCCTTTTGTTCCAATGTTGTCTTATTGTTAGTAGCAACATTTTTCCAGAATTCTTTAATAGCAGCATTAGTTTCACCAGCTTCTGTGTATTGTTTTCTCAGATGAAATCTGGGACTGGATTTCACCCAAAATTTGCTGCATTCTACAGACAAGGCACCTACCTTTGAGCCTTTCTTTGGAAAAAGTTGTATGTAAATGATACTAGTTAAAAATGTAAGAAAGGCAAATGTTTTTAGGATAAGGATATCTAAAAGTATGTATCTGATACTCTTATTATGCTGGCTGGGAAATTCTGGAAGTTAAAGTCCACACATCTTAAAAGATTCCACGGTTTAAAAATATGGCTCTATTATAAGAAGGGAAACAACCACAACAAAGGATTGTTAATAGTAGCTGATCCAGCTGAGTTTAGTTTGGAGTATGGCTGATATAAAGTCTCAGAGCAGAGGTAGGCAATTAATTTTCCCAAGAGGCCACATGAGAAACAGGTTGTGGAGAGCTGCTTCTGCCTCCCCTGTTTCAGTGAAAGAGCATGACCCAAGGGCCATAAAATGTCCAAATCTGTCTTAAGAGCATATGAAATACAGAAGACACATCCTTCTGTACTGAGAAAATTAAGAAAGCAATAAAACAGGACAAAGTTAATATTAAACTATGCTCACCTTCAACTATCATTCACTAACTTTTATTGTCCAAATGTACATAGTCACATAATCAACTAAGTACATAAGAGCACAAAGATAGGTCAGTCAGACAGAACAACAATTATTAAGGTAATAACACCACTTAAATATTTTTTTTAAAAATAACATTAACACAAAGTGCATAGAACCCCCCCTCCCCATCTGACCCACAATAACTGCTTGCTGATGTAGAACTTGCACATCCAGTTCTAGCATGAAAGAATCACATTTCTGCAAACAAAAGCATACAAAGTGCTTATAATAGTGGAGAGAAAAGTATATGGAGACAAAAGAAGGTGGTTTCCTTGTTAACTATTACTGCAGGATGGATTCAGTGATTGTGATTCTATTTTTTCCTGTGCAAATTGAACACAACTGTTCAGAAAACAAGGCTCTTCAGGTTCAACTTTCTTGTAGTAATTTCCAACATCACTGAAAAACTCTTGGGCTTGGAAAGCACTCTGAGTTATGCAACACAAGTAGTCCTCAATACTTACAACCATACTTGGGGCAGGAATTTTTGTTGTAAGTCATTATGGATGTAAGTCAAGAAGGACCCAATTTTATAACAAAGTTTACAGTAGTCATTAAGAGAATCCAACTTCTCCAATGGGTTTTTTGTCAGAAATTTGGGGGGGGGGGGGGGGCACAAATTGCAATCATGTGACCACAGGATGCTGCAACCAGTCTTAAATGTGAACTGTTTGCTAAGACTCTGAATTGCAATTATTTGACTGGGGAGGTGGGGATGGTAGTTAAGTGCGAGTACAGATCATGTCGTTTTTTCTAAGGCTGTCATATTTTGAAACATTGTTAAATAGTTGTAAGTCAAGGACTACCTGTGTGGTGATTTGCAGATGGAAACAGAGATGCAAGATCTACCCTTGCATATTGTTTCCAAGGAACAACTAGAAATTATAGAAATTGGATATCCATTTTTACTTTTCAATGTCTCTATTTTTTAAGAAAGCATCTCTCTTCTAACGCATAGTTGGCTGAATAAACTGTCAGTGGCCAACAGCTGCCTCTAACAAAGCTGAAGACTATGGTTGGCAGGCTAATTATACAAAACACACAGAAACATGCCGCATATCTTGCCAAAGTTGGAAATTCCTGCTTTTTCTAGGTTTGAGCCTTGCCTTTTAAAAATATGCTGAATTAGAGTTTACATTACTGTGTGTGTGTGTATTTCTTAATTCAGACTGGTAGGAAACTATGATCAATCTTCAGCAATTCTAGTGAGAAGGGATTTCGTTACCTCAACCCTCTTGAAAAGGTCTCAAAGTTTAAAAACATAGGCAGTGAACGTTCAGGAGCAAAAAGGCTGACCTTTCAGTTGTTATCCCCTCCCCTATATTTTTAACTTTACAGCTAGTTCTAGTCTTGTTTATTTTATAAATGTCAATTGTTGCATTTGGCACTGATGATCTGATCTTGTTTTTCCATTAGTTCTAATTATGGCTCCAGAGTTCACTTTGCTTCCAATGCATCTTAAATGCTGGTTTGAATCAAAAGCAGGTGCTTTAGAATTGATTTTTTTCTTTTAATACCTTCCAATAAGTCTGACTTCCAGGGATTGCCTGGATAAGTCTATGCATTTTTCTTGGCAACATTTTCAGAAATGGTTTTCTGTTGCTTTCTTCCTAGGACTGACCAAGTCACCCATTAGTTTCTCCTAGTTTCTGGGTCAGAAACCCCTTTAACCATTACATTAGACTGTCTCTCCAGTACAGAACACTTTAAATATCCTAGATAATGTAATGATTTTTTTGAAAGCCAAATCCAATCTATCTATTACAATTAAATGCAGAATTATACAGATTTAACTGCAAAACATAAACTATAAAACTAGGCCACTCTGTTATGTTAATCTACTAGGACTACTCCACATCTCTGGAATGTGTTTTTTTTTGGGGGGGGGGGCGGTATGGTTGTTGTTAATTCAATCCTTTTTCATTAAGATTCCTCCATTCTTACATGACCTTAGGATAGTTTGTATTGAAGAAACCCTCAATCTGTTCTTACAAAAACTGTGACATGAAATAGCTTAAGGACTAATCCAAAGTTACTTATGGTTGGCAGAAATCTGAATCCAGGTCTTCTTATAGCAGATCCAGGATTTTATCCTCTTGGTTCTTCCTCTGTTCTGTCTCAAGGGAAAGTTGGGATCAGAGAAATTGCTGTGTATATTTAAAGACAAACCCTGCGAGCTGTTTAAGGAGAGAGTCTCTCATATACCCAGTTGCCTTCCCCTCTGTGAGTCATAGGGTCCAAGGATGTGCTGCTATCCTGGAGATGTCGGAAGACGATGCGGTCATGCAAGCGGTTGGTCTGGCCCTGCCAGAACTCTATGACTTCTGGCTTTAAAATGTATCCTCCCCTGGAAAAAAAGAGGACCACAGCAAGTTGCTGGACAATAAAAGTTAGACTGATCTACAAGCTGCAAGTCCAGGCTAGGCTGAACAACTCAGGCCAGAAGGCACATCCAATAAGACAATGGGTTGAAGGCCAAATGAGAATGCCCACAAAGGCTTCCTCCGGCTCAAGTAGAGAAAATTTATCTCCTTTCAACAGAGATGGACCAAGGGGTGAGACATAACCAGGGAGGAAATGGCCATCTTATCAGGATCTCTGGACAAGTATAGATACTGCAGCATTACTCCTTTTGGCAAGCTTAAGGAAAATATTTTGTAGTCTCTTGTTCCGTGTAACTATAATAGCTAAAGGAGCAAGGAAAAGAATGTAGAGGGAGGGAGAAGCATAAAAAAAAGTCCAAAGGCTGCGCTCAGTCAGCAGATTGTCCATGCCATAAAGGGGCAAGCTTCATAAGATAGTCAGTCTTCTTAATAAAAGCAAGCCATGGCAATATGACTTTATCACTCATCATTAACCCAGAACTAGAGGCATGACCCACAAAAACACTTGTCAATGACAGTAATGAACCCTGGAGAAAAACTATCCAAGAATCCCTGTATTGTTGGACACAGAATATTGCACTAAGGCTAGAACTCAGTTATCCTTTAACCTTAAATTCCTATTTTGAAATAAAACAGTTTCCTGGTCCCTGTGGTGAAAAAAATGAAACAGATGACAGTGAGTACTGTGCTTAAATATGAATTAGAATAAATTGGAATTTGTTTTTATATTCCTCTTATGGCTATCATAAAATTATACAAAACAGAAATAAGAGAGTTATATAAATATGTTAATTTGACATAATTATAAAAGTTTGTAGCTTCCCCTGAAGTGGAATCTGAATTGCAAAAATATGGAGTTGAGGACTCTATCTAGGAAGTACAGATATACCCAAATGACAATCCAACAGAATGGCTATAGCACAATTTTTCATATTCACAGTAGAAACACCCATTGCCAAAATGCACACGAAGGTCCAACTCACCAGTATGCTGGCTTAGTCACTTTGGCATCTCGATATATTTCCTCTAGTTCTGCATTCTTCTTCCTTAAATACTAACAGAAGGGACAGTACTATAAAGTCTTTAAAAAGATCATCACAACAAGCAAAGAAGAAGAAGCTTGGTATTATGTTTAAGTTGCTAACAAAGCCTTCTGCATATATTCTCATAGATTACTGAGGTGCAAATTTACTTTTCAAAACCATAATAGAAAAGTAGAAGAGCTTACACTATTCTGCAAAGCATGTATGTGCTCATTCTTTTACACGGATTTCCTGGCCACAGATGGTGAGCAAGCATGTTGTGCTATCAATAGGTCTTGGTATATTTTTAACTTTTAAGAGGCTGACTAACATGCATTAAATCTGTTTACATTAAATTCAACATTCTGAACTTTCTAATTTGCGGGGGAGTCATATGCATGAAAAATTATATCTCTCATATCTTTCATGTTTAGTCTGTCTTTCTATGTTCCACACATTACCTAGTTACGGTGACTATCTACACAAACACAGATAGGCAACCTATCATCCATACTTTGGATATAACTTCCATCCCATCCAACCAACAAGGACTATTTAGGTTATAACATCTGAAGGGTGTCAGATTACCAACTGTATCACAAAGTGATTCAGATTTCACCATTTTTTCCATAGACGGATGTTTAAAACATAATTCAATCATTTTGATGAAGAATATTCAATCTGAACAACTCAACATTTATATGCATTTGATGTACATCCAGTTTGCTTTTGGAATTATCTCAATCCTTCAAGCTTATTATAATTAGTTTTTATCCCATTTTTAAATATATCCTTCTTCCTCCTATTTTCCCACAGCATCAACTCTCTGAGAGGAGTTGGGACAAGGGAAAGAATTACTTGTCCAAAGTCACTCAGCTTGCTTTCAATGCCTAAGGGAGACCTAGAATTCAATCTCATGGTTTGTATGCCAACAGCTTCACCACTACACCAAACTAGCTCTCTTATTATGAAAGTTTTATAATGAAAAGAATCATGGCAAACAAATTCAAGGAGACTCTGAATATGTGATTGGGGGAAAATGTAATCATACATGTAAAGGCAGAAATGTTTCAGTGTTGGTTATCCCTTTTTTCTCAAAAGTCTGTAGCTGAAAAACATAGCACTACCATTCCTCACCTCTCTGTCTGCAATCACTGTACTTTGACGGCTCACAACAGCCCCAATTTGACTACTTTTTGGACGTGAATGAAAGTATTTCTCTGATTCCTGTTCTGGAAGCCTTTCTACAGAGCCTTCAATCCGTACCTGCAGGAAGTACAGTTCAAGGAGTGAAAGAGAATCAGAGTAAGGCTGTGCTTCTGTTACAGGACAGGGAGATTTCTATGTGGTTAAAATTATAGCTCACCTCAAGTTTTCTCAGTACTACAAATGAAAAGGGAATGAAGCCTTCCCCATCACCAGAGCTTAAGTAATTAAGTAGGGAAATCCATTGCGATCAAGCTTTAATCTTTATAGTCCTTAAGTTACAATTGTAATGGCACCAGAATTTCCATCAATAATCACTGTACTCATAAAGTTTGATGTCACATGACCACATCATTTAGCAAAAGCAGAATCCCTGTTGCTATTGTTAACTGAATCCCACTGGTCATTAGCAGAAGACTTGTCTCAATCCAGACCATTTCTGGCTTGGTCCTTCCCAGACTCAACCTTCTTTTCTATCCAAGTAATGAACTACATCCCTTACTTCAACCCCCGTAAACTGCCTATTCCTTCTAGCCATCTCTGGCGTTTGGCCACCCTGCATCCCGTTTTGCATGGTGGAATGCAGCCATGGAAACCCATGGCTCTTGGACTGCTTGCCACACTGCAGTTCAGAGGGTTCTGGTCATGTGATCAAGAGGATTCTTGATCACATGACCATTGCAATTTCCATAATTTCGGAGACCAGGTTAAGTACCATACATTCAGCACCACCATAACTTTGAACTGCTGCTGAACAAATGGTTTTAACTCAAGGACTACCTTTTTTGCCACAGAGAAATATCCTTTGCTTCTAAACTGATTCCCTAAAATGAACTAACTATTCTCCAAAACTCCAGCCTGTCAATTATGGATACTATCTCTTGGCTTGTTATGTTTTCAGGGCAAAGAAAGATAAAATAAACAGTTCTTTGGTCCTATATACTTTCTGAAGACTAACATTAGATCCAATCAGCAGAATCCTTACTCTATTTTCAAATTCCCCCAGTCAGATCAAGAAGAGTAAAAGAAGTTTCTTCCCATATTTCTCTTAAATGATGGTTTCACTGGCACCAGGCTAAGAAATTCTGAAGCAATCTCAAGTATCAACATCTCAAACTCATCACCATCTCCAGATCTGGAAACACAAATGCAATTCCCTAATAAAATTAGGAGTCAACTTTCCACATTGAATAAATCAGAGGGAAACAAATGTTGGCTGCAGCAAGATTTAACTGTCTGCTCAAGTCTTCACTTTATACAATGAAACTACAAAGAAAGGTAAGATTGAAAGGAGAATCTGTGATAACCTTTCCTTTTAGCCTTCAAAAAGTTCAAGTGTGACTACCAGATACTTCCCTTTCCCCTGCTACCTATATTAAAATAAAAGAATACACACTTTACCTGGCGATTGAGAGGCTCCCAATAGAAGACCATTGAAGCAAATGGGTTGGAATCCTGTAAATAATGGGGGAAAGACCAATACAAAACAATTGGGAGGGGAAACTATTATTGTCCTTTGAATAAAAGACACCTCTGAAATCTCTAAAGTGAAACTGAGATGACAATTGATTTTTTTTGCTTTTTTTTGCTGTTTTGATGGAAGGCCTGTGCTAAGAAACATAAAAAGAAGCATAGATGGAAGCATATCTGCCTTTCTTGTTTGTTTTGCACATAGAAAAATCCTTGCTGTTTGAAAACAATATTACCCTTGGTTAGCTCTAATTAGCTCTTGGCTAATTAGAACAACAGTTGTTATAAAGTGAAGGATTCAAAACACAGGAATGGTTTCTGTGATATCTCCAATAGCACTGCAGCCTTTTCGTTTCTGGTGTTTAAAATCCAGAAAAAGACAGGAGATGCTGAGCCTGAACTCAGCACTTAATGAGCATGTCAGTTCATTGAAGCCTCCTTCCTTTTAGCATTTTATAGTTAAAGGTCGCTGGCCAGCAAGTACATGCACACTCATTTTATTATCTTTACATTATATTTATTATATTTAAATATTTATCATATTTAAAGAGAATTACATTCTCTCACACCTTAACTAAGTTTAGAATTTATGAAACTAGAGCAAATATCCATAGAATTATTTACTTAACATTGTAAGCACGTACTCAGAGCACAGCTCCCCACTGTGTGTTGTCCAAGTAAATTTGGACAACTCTCATTACGATTAGCCAAGATGGAAATTACAAGAACTGTGGTCCAATGCATCTGTAGCCCAACATGCTGCAGAAAGGCTGCTATAGCATATGTAGAATGTAAAATATGGAAATGAGAGAAATAAATCTCACAACTTCAATAATAACAAATGGGGGAAGCTCTGATTAGACCAATACCATTCAGGTTCTAGAACAGGTGTATCTAATCCCTGGCCCATGGACCTCATGAGGTCCTGGAAGTTTATGGATCATAAACTTCTTACACTATTATGTGATTTATATAAATTAAAATTCCCTTTTTTTATGATCCTATAGTCCCTATTTAGAGTAGAGTCAGAGAAACTGGATGGATCTCAGCATTTACTGGCCAGAAGCCCTTCCTGATGCTTACATGGATTTCGCAGCAGATATTTTTTCTTTGTGCCCTAGGAGATAATCATCTGCCCCTACAGTATCTAGGATTGAATTCTCAGCCTTCCGAGTGGGAAGGCCACCATGTCGCTCTTGTGATTTATACATATTAATTATATTATATATTTTATATGCGGCTCAAGGTAATTCCTGTTCATTCAATGCGGCCCAAGCAAGCCAAAAAGTTGAACATTCATGTTCTATAGTGCCTTCATGGAATCATGACTAACAAAAACAGAAATATGGAAAATAAGCAAGTTCTCATCTTTCCTTGAACTGCATACAATAACTGGAACAAAATTCTGACTAATTTGTTACTTCCCTTCCTCATCCCTGTCCACAATGCATACATAATTAAGACTTTCAGCATATGAGCTTCAGTCTTTCTCCAATAATTATTCTTCATTAAGACAACACTCACCAGTTCCCTTCCTTTCCTGCTCTCATGATTGGTAAAGAAAAGAAAGCCTTCTTGGTTAAATCCTTTCAAAAGCAGCATCCGAGCAGAAGGTCTCCCCTCCCTGACAAGAGGTAAAAATCAGGTAACAGAAAGAAAAATAAAACACAGATAGAGCAGCAGAAAGACAAGCTATAAGAATGCAAACCTTACTTGGTACAAGTGGCTAAACACATAGCATTGACTTCTCCAATAGATGGACACCTCATGGCCTCTTCAAACCATGCAGAGAATTGTATAATGGGATTAAGGGAAATGAGATGTTTCTCTTCAAAAGCCTAGAAGGGTGGAAGTAGAAAGCATATGTGTTTTTAGCAATCCCTTTCGTTCTCAAGTACCAATTTCCTTTTCCTTGAAATGAGGCTGGTCTATCTTTGTTCATCCATTCCCATCGCTTCTTCTATTTTGAAGCAGTACATACATCCTTTCCAGTGATGTGGAAATATCCAAAATGTGAACAGCTTCCCACACCCCCTCTGCCCCATTACAACTGACAAGTTTGCTGTAATAGTTAAGGTGTTCTTGCTTTAGGCATGAAAAACAGATTGGGCAATTTGGGGTCAGTCATTCTCTCTCAGTAAAATTCATCTCATAGACTTGTTGTTTTGGGGAGAAGAAGAAGAAAATGGAGTTTTGGTAAGTTTGTCATCTTAAACTGTATATGAAAAGAATATGTGATAAAAATCTAAGCAACATAAATTTGTTGTTGTTGACTGGAGAAACATAGATGCAATTGTAAAGCAACAAGGAAAGCGGTTCAAAGGAAAAGGGAAAAGGAGTCCTTTATAACAGAAAAAAATGAACAAAGTGGTTTAAAAACTACTCTCCTGTAAGTTATTCAGTCCCAAACCTAAAATTATCTACCAGCACTACTGCTCCCTCTTTAATTTTTCTTATCACAACCTGCAGTTATTCCATTGCTGCCTCTTTGGGTTATAACAGTGCTGAAACATTTCCACTTATACATTCTTGGTCGATCTACACATTTGACACCCGACCATCTCACTCTTACTTTAACTAAAAAGCAAGTCTTCAGTAGTTAGTTTCAGGAGCTACCTCCTATCCAAACATTTGAAGGATACGTGTCTTCTCAGCCACTTTAATTTGACACACGGTATTTGTTTAAATTGTTTCATCTCATTGTTTATTTTACTATTGCAAAACTATAAAATGGTTGTATGCGATGCTGAAATCCTGCGCCCAAGACCCATACATAATCCGAGACCCATGCATCCCCGAGATCCGATCTCCCAACAAAAAAAGGGTACCCTGTAAAACATCATCTTTAGTATCCCGTTGTTATTTTTGGCAGAACGAGCATCGGTCCTAAGAGCAGATCCCAAGATTAGTACTACAAATAACGCCATGCACTTTGCACAAATTCAGAGCTGTCGCCAATCCCTTGCTAACATTTTATCTATGCGGAATCCTTGAAATACATTAAGATGTCTCTCACCTCTTCATCCCCCCTGTAGTTTTTCCGAAGAGATCCTAAATCCATAGCACGAGAAGATTTTTGAACTTGACCCGAACTACGAGAGATGATTGGATTCGAAACCCGAAGCCACAGAAGACCCCTGAACCTAAACATTAAGGTCACATTTCACTCACAGAGCGCATGCGCGAAAAGAAAGGGAAGCGGCCAGGCTCTAACATTCAAAGCTGTCTTTACCTTCTCTCGTCAGAAGTTGAGGGGCGGGGGGAAATGTCTAAACTCCAATCAGACATATTGCCGCAGTACTCAACCTCTCTTCCGTCCTCTTTCTCTGATCGTGGTAAATTAAAGAGAAGAAGAACTCTACAACATTGTCAATAGGAAGATAGAAGGCGGGGTTCGTGAACCCAATGAACAGCGAGCATTTTTAATTATTATTATTGTTCTGAAGGTTGCAATCGAACGATGGAAGAAGATTTTGTGCTGTATGAAATATTGACTCTCAACCAATAGGAATACAACCCGAAATTTCTAAAAGGAGAATTCGAGGAATTTAGAAACAGCAAAAGGGCAGGATACAAAACTACGTATAATGTGGAAGACTAGCAACCAATTTATATCAAAGTCTGGCAATGAGAAGAGATGAACTCTAGTTGTGTAAGGTGTTAATCAATTAAAATTATTGCATAGGATTGGTAACACAAAACTCTAAACTGCCATCTACAGGTCTAGACCTTTATACCTTCCATAATGTTAGCAGCCCATTCAGGTTCCTGCGTCCATATTAAGTGAACTGAAGATTTAGTGCTTTCAGATTTCTCTAAAAGGGGAAGGGGATGGTGGTGAAATATATGTATGCATTTAAATGCTGGAATCATGAAAAAATATCTGCAGGTGTATATAGTGCACTCATGAAGTAGAGAACTGGTATTAGGTTATACTAAGGACTTTGCCAAAATTTTGTTGACTAAAAGTACACAGTTCTTACTTCCACATTTAAAAATAAAATAAAACTGAAGCTCTTTCAGGTGAAAAAAAAAAGCCAACTAGACACTTTATATCAGTATATCTTAACCCTGGTAACTTCAAGATGCCTGGCTTTCAATTTCCAGAATTCCCCAGCCAGCATACTGAGAAATACTGCTTTATATTAAAGCGTTCTGTAAAAGATTGCATATTCTGGAGAGAGGCAGTTTATATAAAGTGTTCCTTTGTGCAATGCAAGCTTTGTATTCAAATTCTCCCTTGCATTTGTTGTATATTCTGCGCCAGAGTCTATGAGTCTATGACTAGACTCTTTTGAGAACATACATGGATTTGAGTACTGAATCCTGCACTTTGCTGTGGCAACCCAAGTGGGTTAACTGGGGAGATGACTGTGTTTAATTTTATTTTCCCTTTCACAATTTAAGGAGGTTAGTTCCTTTTGCCAAATCTGAAGCTTATACTCTTATCAAGGGCCGAGAACAAGGGAGTCTTCCATGTGGAATTAGGTTGTTCCTAATGATGCTCTTTGAAACTAAGTGCAGGGAGATAGAGGACCAACAGAAGAAAATAAGAACCTAAACTGAAATTCATTGTTAGCAATAATGGCGCAGATTTAGGGATGAAGAGGTTACCATTAGCTATTAGCTATTTTCTTTATTAGAAGCAGTGTGCTTTAAATGCTGGTTGATAGAAGCAACAATGGAAGGGGGCTATCATTTTCCAGCCCAGCCCTGAACATGCATTGAGTTGGCTCCTGTGGTGATACACCATATCAAACTGAGGCTTTTGTATAATATCTGACAGAACAGGGTCTCCAAATCACTAGAGCGCTATAGTTCAGTAGTAAAATTTCCCAATTTTTATGTATACATATAACCCTCCCTAGAAAGATATGTGTGTTTTCATATATAAAAAGAGTTTGATGATATAAAAGCAGCACTATGGTGTATGGGCACTATCATGTATTGTTTTATGGAGTCTTTCCCATTATAAGGCATGACCTTCCAGTTCTATAAATGAACACTCAGCTGCCAAGCAATTCTTGCCCAGCTCAGAAGCAAGTGGGTAAATAAAACAGTTTGAAAGAATTAAAGCCATAAAAATGCTTATGGCTTAGACAGGTTGCTAAGGTAACAGTGACATGGCCTCTATTGTGATACTTTTCCCTGCTGGTTCATAAGTCAGATAGCCAGAACTCCTTTCAGGAAGTAAGTATTTGATATTTTTGTCTTCTGTGTTACCAATTTCCACTGATGGTATACTTGGAGCTTCATTATGTACTAATTGTTCTGGAAGTAATTTTGGTCTGTGATTTTGTAATAATGCAAGACTAAGAAGCATAATTTGCATACACTTATTAATCACTGTCAAACTATTTTTATTCTTGAATAAGCACCAGACTTTAGATAATTGCTTCAAAAAATCATGGAAACCTGGTATCTATTCCATATTCTCTATATGGTGTATCTAACATAATTGTACCAACAAATACTGCACCAAAATCTGAGTTTCTTCTAACTCCAAAGTCTATTTCTTAGAAAAATTTATTCTAAACTAAGCAATAAGTTACAGTGTACAATTTCATAAACCCAATGTTTTCTCCTTCATATCTTGTAATATCTTAGATTTAAGAGGGTGCTTCCTCCTCCTTCATACAAATTTAGATACAGTATATCTTTTTGCCATTGCTTAAATGTGCATCATTTCAGACAAAACAAGTGTTATCTGAAACCAAAATAACATTCTAGGCAAAACATTGGTTTTAATCACATAAATTCTTGCCTAACAGTTGTAATTTCTCCTGTCTTGACAGATCTTTGTAATTTTATTCAGTGTTTTAAAATAATTTGAAGTAACATAAATTCATATTTGTCATAGTGATACACAAGTATTTTACCTGCTTCTCAATTTTAAAGCCTAATTTATTACAATTTTATTTCATTTTATATTCTCAATTTCTTTTTAACATTCTCATCTTCTATTACTCTTAAACACGATTTGTCCAGGTTGTAACACTTTTGTTGTTCTCAGCACAAGAAACATTTTATAGATGTGAAATAATAAGCAAACATAAATGGCTATCATCATGAGATACTAGAATTTTGTTAAGGAAATTGTAAGTTAAAATCAGCGTAAGATCTTGTAGCAAATGGATATGCTTGTCAATGGTTTTCTTATTTACAATTATTAGAAAGATTTAAAGTAGATAAAATAATGGTTTTGAGCATTGCAAGACTGAGTCTGAAATAGAATTGTGTACAATTGTGAACATGTTATTGCTAAAATGTATAAAATTTTATTGAAATTTGAAACAGAAGAACAAGTGAAAGAATGGAGGAATGGTTGGTGAAAATGACAAAACTTGCCAAGATGGCTGAACTGACTTCTTTGATTAGAGACAAGGAACCTTTTATAGAATTTTTGTAAGAAACAGGAAAAAAATGAACATGATTCAGTTTCAATGACTGTACAGAATAGATGATAAAAAATTGAGTTACCTTATAATTGTACTTTTAACTGCTATAAAGAAAATCAGAAGCTACTTTGTATTTTTCTTTGCACTTTTTAAATTTCCTTTTCCCTCTCTTTTTCTTACTTTAGTTTTTAACTACTTTCATAAAAGCTTTAGTAAAACTTTTGCAACTAGGCAGTGAACTTATGTTTAAAAAGAGAAGCAGCCTAGCAATTGGGATTTGGAGTAACAAACATTCTTTGCACATGCTTAGAATTGTGCTGAACAGGTATACTTCAGTGTAAGAAGAGGTAATGTTCCTTTGTATCACATATAGATCAAGAATGGAAGCAGAACTGTTAAATTTGAAAACAGCTTTTTCCACCACCTTATCCAGGTACAAGTGAAGATATCAGCAGACTCTTTCTGGAAGAAAGCAAATGAGAGCACAGGAAGGAAGCAACATTATAAATTTGGGTGTGTAAGCTAGATTTTATATAAGCTTTTGAATTCTAGTTCTTTATTTACTCTCTGTGATAATTGAGAATAGCCCACCATTGAGACCAACTACTCCAGAAATATTTAAAATTTTGGACATGGATAGGAGAGATGCTGATTTGCATCCCCCACTTAATAATGTTCATTAACAAGATAATGAACATTATTAAGAAAGAAATGCAAACCAGAATCTCCCCTATCCACGTCCAAAATTTTTATCTCAGCTCAGCCTATTTCAGAAGAAGTTGTGGGGATAAAATAGAATACTGTATGATTTCTCTCCCTCCCCCATTTTTTTAGTTTCAAAACCTTCAAGCTTTCTTTAAGTATGGAACCAGGCCCTTTGTCCTGGTTGAAAGATTTTGTCTGTGTTTTGTAATATTTTCGCAGTGTGTGTTAAATGATCCTCCTTTGCGGGGTTTGCATGACACCTTGAATTCTAAAATAATTGTGCAGGCTGAGTGATTACATAACCTGTTGGGCTAAAATATGGTTGCCTAGTTTGTGGCTCAGTGTGTTGGATGAACAGATCCTGAATCAATGTTTCTCAACTTCAGTGCTTTTAAGATATGTAGACTTCATGAAACTGGGGAATTCTAAGAGTTAAAATCCACAAAACTTAAAGGTACCAAAACTGAAAACACTGGTCTAAATAAAACAACTGTTTAGTTTAGGGGCCCATGAAATAGGCAGGAGACATAGAAAACTCTAAGAAAGCAATACATTATTTGGTTCAGGAGAAATAATTGAGTTTTCCAGTATTTGCTTTCTCAAGTAATGTTTGCTTTATGGGAGGTTTAAGGGGAATGCACTTTCTAGAGTTGGCAGGCACTAGCTGCCCTATTTCTCACTTTTCTATACTCTGTTCTAGGCTGGAAAAGCTGCAGATCCCCATTCAAAGTAAGAATGTCAACGCTATCCAAAAGAGGTGTGAAGCAATAAGCTCCAGGAATCCTCCCCTGGGTTGGGAGTTAGAGATTTTCCATAGACGATAGCTCCTATATCAGAGGACGAAAGGGGTTCTTTTCTGCTTAGAAAATAAGGACTTATCTCTGAAGGATTGGAACATATGGATATGTCCTGGACTTGCTGCAAGGATGAACTCTCAGAACCTCAACGTCCAAAGGTTGAAGATAGAAGACCAACTCCCAAAGCAAATCGTTTAGATGTTCCAGGTACAAACATAATTTTTATCTCTGCTTTAGAAGTAGAATGCTGGCTAAACTATGATATGCTTGAACATGGCTTATAGAATATGCTATAGTTAGCTACAGTGATGAAACTTTAACTCCAGTGAATTGGTTCACACTGTACTCTAAGCCTCAAGCAAATAAATCACATTATATCTGGGCTTGTTATATAAACCCAGCCACTGTACTTGCTGGACTTTCAACTGAGGCACTTCCCTTCTTAAAATAGCCCTGAAAGATTATTGAACATTTTCATGGAACTCCAGATATCAGCTAGGCTAGAGTATCCATTACTTGTTGAACTGTAGGGTTTTTCTTTGTTGACACCAAATACAAAAAGTAAAAGGATCTGTTGATTATTATTATTTTTGCATCCTTGTA